CCAGCATATCTTTCCAATGCTGGAAATGTTTAAAAGCAGGTTCCCCTTTCATTGCTATTATAATTCAATTAATTTGTAGTCGCACCATTGACAGCAGGCAAACCTGGGAATAATGAATAGATGTACCTTCAAAATACGATTGCGCAGTGTATACCCACATTTTTTCTAAATTTTCATGTCTGAAAGTCGCCTGTCAAAACCTCGGAACACCACTTCGAATTATTCTTGATTTTATACGTGGTGCCTACTATGGACGGGACGGCCGATTGGGCCGATCGCCCGACTCGATCGCCTAAAAAACGAACGTGTTTGTTTTCAGTTTCAAAGCAAACACGGTTGTTCGACCGAGTCGGGCGATCAGCGCAATCGGCCGATCCCATCCGTAGTACTAGTGGGCACGGCCGTTTTCTTTCATCGCGGCCCTTGTATTGCGTTCACGTGCCGAAGAATCTTCGCATTGATAATTTCTCTAGATCTAGATAAAATTTGCGAAAAAAGTTTCTTTCCGACAGTAATTTTCTGTCTAAGATCAAAATCAGTCTTGATCAACGCGCAGATTTTCCAGCCGCGGCAACAATCCGAAGATGGACAGAAGGAATGAGTGAATGACAGAAAGGAGGAAGTTAGCACAAAAGGTTCGCCAGATTTTGATCCATCTGCAGGTAAAAAATGTACTGCTGACCAACACGCAATGAATGCATGGGACTGGGACATAGCACATAGCGGTATAATGTCCGATTGCAGGAAATGCGCAATTTGGCAGGTTTCTATGTGTGTTGCCGAGAGAATTACCGTAAATATCCGTAAATTATACAAGAGGATACGAAGGCGAGTACGGAATTTCGGCAGTCCTGCACTGTCGCAGTTTTTTTTACGGAGAGAGTAGATAATGATGGAGGGACAAGTACGGAACTGGCAGAAAGTACGGATTTCCGTAAAAATACGGAAGAGTGGAAGCACTGTTTGTTATAAACTCCGATTCAACAAAATTAAAGGTCAGGCCCGACAATTTCGTTGAATCAGAGTTCCACTGTATATGGGGTTAAATAATGAATATTACAAGCCAGACCTCATGGTGTTCAGATGGTGTCCCCATCCCTGAACCACCCTTACAACATCCAAAGAGAAAATAAGCCTCAGTGTAATAGATATGATATATACAAAGGCATCAGCAAAGGAAACAAAATAACGTGACATCAGGTGCTCACCGTATCTTGGCAACTGTCTTTTCCAGAGACTTCAGCGATACATCTTCCTCAGAGCTCTGGATGTCCTCAGGATCTGGCAGAAGGAAACTTTTTGGTTTTGTTCTCACTCCAGATGTCCCCGGCTCATAACTAGGCTGTTCTTCCTTGACCAAACCGTGCTCCTTGAAAAAAAATTTACACAATTATTCTTTTCACATTTCCTTTTTATGAACAGAATGGATTCAAGCTATCGAACCAACGCCTATACGATCGTTCACATGGATTTTCTGCCCTGGCCATGCAGGTGTTAGGGAAAATGAAAAAGCCGACAGATTGGCTGGTGAGGCCACCTTAGTTGACAATACGGTTCAACCAGATAGGGTCAAGATCCTGAAATGTCTCTCTCGCCATCTGATTGAGGAGGAAGATAGGGAGGCAGAGGCCAGTACTGCCGTGGAGAGGATGATGCTTTTGGGAATTTAAAAAAAGGAGGAAGCGGAAAATCTGGCATCCTTGCAGGAAAGAACAGAAGAACGTTCAACCAGATGTGCACTGGCACAATCAGTAGAAGGACCCTCGGCAACATTTTGGAGAGAGCAACGGAGCATCAATGGACATGTCCGGAGTGCAGAGATGTTGCTTCCTGAAGCAATGAACAATGAACAATTTTATGAACAACTGAACAAAATGAAAAAAAATTCACACAATCATTCTTTCTCAATAATTCCTTGGTGTTAACTTGTGTGAGACTCACTTGTTACTTCTCTCAATCTGTTCTTAAAAAAAGATCACAAGAATCACAAAATGATTGGGAGCAGAGTGCAGGAGTCACACAAAGTATTGGTACTTCATGTACTAATGCCATTGGTAATTATTTCCTTTGAAAGTGAGGAAACAAAATAGGGAGAATAGGCGCTGAACCACGCGACCTGTGAGGAATTGAGGACTGAAAACAAAGGCGTAGTGAGCCAACGCTGCCCTCACCATGCCGCCATGTTTGAGTTTCAATTCCTCACAGCGAATCAACAATCGCGAGAGAGAAGTTCCGCTTCTATAAGTGTAGAATTCTGTAGTTAGGACAAGGTCGAATAATTTCTTTACCTTGAAACATGGAAAATGTGAGGACTTGGCTAACTCACCCTAGCAAAATCCAGTTGCCCCGATCTGCCACCTTCCAAAAATCTTGGATCATCTTCATCAGAGTCCTCTGAAGTGAGGTGAATGTGAAACATCCCATTTTCATAAGTACGTTATGAATAATAATACCGCATAAGTACATATAATAGAACATGAATATCGAAACATAAAAAAAACACAAACAAAAAAAAACAACCTAAGGCTTATTTTTAGGTAAGTGTTTTACGGCGCTCGCAACTGCATAAGGTCATATGAGTGTGCGGGACACACGTAATATTTTCAGTTTGTAGGAAATCTTGAATTTTGTGCAGGAGGTGGCCGAAGCCTACTCTTATCGATTTTAGACCACCAAGAGATCTTTAACGTGCGCTGCTTGCACACGGGCCCTCTAAGATTTTTCGCCCTTGTCCGAGAAGGCTAGGTGTAGATCTTTCCTGCCAGAAGATCAGGGGTGTGGCTGAAAGACAGCAGTAAGAAGGAGCCATTGAGTAGCAGTGGAAAGGCTGCAGAAAGAGTCAGGAGCCCAGAGGAGGGGGCGAAGGAGGTAAGGGCGTGGAGGCAGAAAGAGGAGACGAAAGCAGACGACAGAACATTGCTAGAGAGCAGGAAAGGAGGTGAAAGGAGACAATTTTAGAGAAGAAAAATTTTCGGTCGCTACCCGGATTCGAACCCGGGACCTTTGAATGAGAGGCCAACACCTTAACCTCTAGGCCATGAGAGCCCCCACCTAATGCTTTGACTATAAACTTTTCTCCAAATTATTGTTGTGCACTGATTTTCTGAGCGACAAATTTTTCAAAATTTACTTTTTGGAGATAGTGTGTAACACACAGTTTGTCCCAGTCACACTCTATATGGCACGGGTGAAATACAAATACAATAAAACACCAACTTCCAACTCTAATTTAGTTTAGTATGGGGTTTTACGGCGCTAGCAACTGCATAATGTCATATGAGCGCGCGAAACACAAGTTATTTATGTTCGCAACAGTTTACTGTACGGCTGGCTCGGGTCAGTAGTTAGATCTTAAAATGTTTCAATGTTTAAAAATCAGTGTAAATATATATTTTCAATCTAAAACAATTTTCTTAGATAACATGGTTCTGATACACTATTAAATCACAGTGAAAATGCAGCGTCATCGAGATTAACTTAAACACCTAAAAACACTTGCCCTGACTAGCACTCAAACAACATGTGCCATTCATAAACATCATCATACACAGACTAAAGTTTTAGGAAAACTAAAACCCCTCCTTATCTTCCTTTAGGACAATCAAATGAGAAGTGAGTTAACTAGGATGTCAAACTGTAGGGGCTAAGTTTTTCTATTTCTTTTGCCTCATGTTGACCGAGTTCTTAGGAGGAGCAGGGCTCCCAACTTTGCACAGTAATATATTACACATGAAACCTGCAGATTACCCCACATTAAGTTTTGGTGGTGCGTGAACGTTACTCTTTAAAATTTCGTTTTGGGGGCTTACATGCTTTAACCCTTCCAGCCCCAGCCATTTTTGTGCACTCACTAACCCCAGTCCCAGCCAATACAGCAGTATTTCAGAAAAAGAGGCATGCATTCTAAAAAGTGATGTAGTATCTTTGTAATCAGGTTTAGATAATACACAGCGCCGAAAACTGGCCGAAATCGTGCCTCTTAGTTTCCCAGGCCAGCGACATCTGGAAGTCATTAAATCACCGTCGGAACC